GAAATTATCCAGCCAGGGCCCAGTTGGAGCCACCAACTCCAGGTTGTAGGGGCACTGGCCAGCCCCAGGGAGGTCCTGGGCATGCTCTATTTACATGAGCTCTTCTTGGTCCTGATGTGGATGACTGTATCAAGGCCCTGTCCTGGCTCAGACCCTGGTCCCCCCTGTAGGAAAGTGGCCTGGACCAATAGTGGCTGACACCTTCTGGCTCCTCTGGAGACCCCTAAGAGCAGGAGAAATGTCAGAAGAACAGGAGCCTCTCAGCACCACAGAAACTGGACATCTCAAAGCCTTGCTCATACTGTAAAGTGGTATAACCACTGTGGAAAACGATATGGTACTCCTTAAAAAGTTGAAAATAGAAACACCATTTGATCTAGCAATCTCACTGCTAGGTATATGTCCTAAAGAAGTGAGAGCCAGGACATGAATAGATAGATGCACACCATGTTCATCACAGCACTGTTCACAATAACAAATAAATCAAAACAACTTAAGTACCCATCAATGGAGGAATGGATACTAAACTATGGTACATACACACAGTGGAATACTGTGCAACATTAAAGAATATTGAAGGATCCATGAAACACCTCATAACGTGGATGAACTTGGAGGACATCATGCTGAGTGAAATAAGTCAATTACAGAAGGAGAAATATTGTATGAATCTACTACTATAAAAAAGTCAAGGAGAGGTTTATATACAGAAGGAAACTTACTTTTTTGGTTAGCAGGGATGGGAGGGGAGAGGAGGGAAAATTGTTAGTTAGGTTAAGAGATACACACTGATCTGGGTGAAGGGAAAGGCAATATTACCAAAAGCAGGTGACTAGCACAATATCACTAAGAAAAAGGAAGATATGGAGAGGTATGGACAACAAAGGTAAATATTATTACATACACAATACTGCATTATTAGTAATAGTAAACATTAATCTATGGTTGGACACATAAATAGATAGGCAAGATGAGTGGGTATGGGTAGGTGAATGGGACTATACCCAGACCATATATAGGTTTGGCAGATCATATTTCTATATATGTATTTTTAGGTGCTACAAAAAATGTCTCTCTATATAATAGAGCTAACTGGGGGCAAAATTATAATAACTTCTTAGCCACAACCAAATACCTTGAGGGAGTGAGTCGCTGGGACATCAAGCTCAGTTGGCACAACACAGTAACAAAAAGCACTGTTCTACATCCTACTTCGGTGAGTAGTGACTGGAGTCTAAAAAGCCTGTGAGCAGCCATCTAAGATGCAGCTATTGGTCTCCTTATCCAGAGCAAAGAAGAGTGAAGAAAATCAAAGACACATGGAAACAGTTAGCCAAAGGGACTAGTGGACCATGGGAATGTCAGCCTACATGACTCGAAGACTAGAAGAACTAGATGGTGCCTGGCTACCACTGCCAACCACTCAGAAAGGGATCAAAATTGGAGAGCTTGGATAGGTGGGAGAAAAATGTGGAACAAAATTTAAAATAATAAAAAAGACCAAGCTTACTGGTTTGAGACAGACTTGTAAAACCCCCAAAATATGGTCTCTAATCACCTTTCAGGCCTGAAACTGAATTCACTCCCATGGCTTAACCTTCAGCCAAACAACAAACAAGTCTACAAGGTGCACAATTACACCAGGGAGGTGCACTCTGTAGCACAATCAACTACATGAGATGAGAAGGGCACCATTTGCACAAGGAGAAATCTCAGAGGGTAGTAGTGCACAGGAAAGAAAGGCACAGGGAAAAGGTAACCACAGGGAGGAAGTGGGAAGAGAGTTGTTACATTACACGGTTTATAATCAATGTCATGAAACAAAATATGTATGAACTGTTCAATGGCAAACAAATTTTCTCTATAAACTTTTCCCCAAATTACCACTACTAAGAATAGAGGTAGAGGTAAGGCCTTGCCCTGAGTGGCTTCACTACCAAGTATATATGGTACAGTTCTTTCACTGCAGCAGCAGAACAAGTAAGGGTCAATTAAAGATTTCAGGGTGAGAAGCTTGGGGACCTGCCATATGATGGCTTCTTGTTTTTTTGAAAGAAAGTGAAGCTATATGCTAGGAGATAGGAGAAGGATGGGAAGGAATGCAGAGAGTGGAGATTAGAAATAGTCACTGACAAGAGGTGGAAAACAAACTGGCTAGAAAAACCTGGGCAGTTGAAGACCCTGCTGAGGCTAGTGACCATGAATTCACAGAGGAACTGACTTGCCCTGTGTTGGCTTTAGCAATGCCAGCTGTCTTGGGTGACGGGAGAGAGAAGGCAGATTCACTGCTCATTCACTGTTGTGGTTTTGCTCTCTGGGTGCCACTCAAGGGCAAGAGTGTAGGATTTTGGCAACAGAGAAATTAAAATGATGGTTTATACCCTCAAATCTGGATATAGAGGACAGCAAAGGGTAGGGAGAAAGTAAAGGGGTCAATAGACCAGAGGGTCCAATGAGGCTAAAGATAGGAGTCATGGAGCAAGCAAGCCAAAAGGAAGGGATGCTATGATCAGAGAGAAGATGTTTGAATTAGATATTCATTTGTTCATGCACTTATGTGCCAGATTTTGGAGATGTAGCTGGATTTTCCCAGCATGATGATAGGAGCTGGGGTAGAAGGGACAACCATGAGCCAAGCAGAAATTTTAAATGTGTGAGGAGGTGTGATCTGTAGGTCAGGAGGTGGGAGCAAGGAGAAGAAAGATAGATTTCTACAAGAGGATGCTTTTACAAGAGGGAGGGACCAAAAGTGATTGAGAAGCAGCAACAGGGAGGACAGAGCCCCTTACTGTAGCCCCCTGGCTGTGAGAGAATGAACGATCAAGGGAAAAACCAGAGATGGAATGCCCTTCCAAGTAGGGGTGAGGACTTGTGGGGCTTCTACTGGATTTGGAGTGGCAGTTCCAAGAGGGTTGAGACTAGGAGGTGGAGCTGGGTGGGGTTGGGGTCAGCAGAGACAGTGGTAAAATAGAGTATTTGGCTAGGCAGTTTGGGGGTATCTTAGGCCTGGGATGTTGAAATAGTGAACACAAGATGTGCAGTATTGCAGTCTTAATCTCGGAGGCTGCTTTGAGGGGGGCAGGCACTGGGCCTAGAAGCTAGGGGGCTTCCCCTGAGTGGAGCCAAGGCAAACTATGCAGCCAAACTACGTCCCCAGGGTACAGGCCAGCTGCCCAATCAATTGTTCTCAGATACAGCCACTTCCCAATTCCACCACCATCATCCCACTTCATCATCGGGATGTTCTGAGGATAAAGTGAGATAGATAACATTTGCTATTACAGTAAACCTGTGAAAGCAGGAATCTGTGTAAAGCAGAAACCTGGCAGAGAAGGAAAATACATATATTTTCCACTAAAACAAGTGACAGAAAAGTCACTTGTACCTGTACCTGGTCAAAGGTGGAAAACTTGTGAGACCCAGAAAAACAGGGGAGTCCCGTTGAATTTCAGCTCTCCCAAGTCTCACTGTAATTTTATTGTTGTAATGATGTTCTGCCTGGTTTCTCTGCTTCCATTTTTGCCCTCTTCTAACACATTCTCTAAATAGAGAGTGATTTTTAAAAATATACATCCTATTGGCCACTCCCCTGCTTAAAAAAAAAAAAAAAAAACCATGGTTTTTATTGCCCTCCAAAAAAATTTCCAAATTAAGAATATGGCTTTATAAGTCCCTCTAGTGTTTGGTTCTTCAAACATTTGCCCATCACTCTAAAACAGAACGATGAATAATACTCATGTGTCCAAAAGATAAGTTGCTGGACACATCCATGCTGGATTTACAAAGCCAGCAAAATAGGTCCAGCACTCAACACCCCTTCCAGGCTACATAAGAGAAGGTGAACACAGGGAGGGAGGTTCTAAAAGAACCCTTCTTAGTGAGTGGGGGTGTCTGTGAGAAAGGGAGACTGGAAACACTCCCTGGTGCAAGGTTGGCTAGAGATACCTTGGAGGACAGGACAAAGTGAGAGAAAGCGTGGCTGATAAGCTCTTTTTCCACGATTTGACTGGGCAAAGGTTCATGGTGTTCTTCATCAGTAATTTGATGGGACCTCACCCCAGAGGGCTGTCTTCTAAGGTAAGAAAGACATGTTGGGGGCTGAAGCTGAAGAGAGGTCCTAAGAGTTCATTTGTGAGTATACTGCTTATATTAAAAGACAATGCAGAGGTCCCCAGAGGATCTCTGAAAACATACAATATGTTCTCATGGAAAGGCCAGCTTTTAGAAAACTGCCATAATGGACTGGCTGATGATTGGCTAGTATAAGCTGGAGGCAGCTACAAACAGCAGCAGCTAAGTGAAGACCTCTGTCCTTTTCCCTCACCTTGTGTGGGCAGAAGCAGGAGAACTCAAGGAGGAGGAGTGATCAAGGAATAGAACAAAGTCCTTTTCTTTCTTTCCCCTCTGCTCATTTCTGAGCCACAGAGAGGTTAGGTACAAGCCAAGGGTGTGGAAGGTCTCTGAACTGAATGCAAGACTTGAAGCTTTGATTTGGAGTGGACATGGAGTCTTCTCTCAGCACAAACAAACTTCCTCTGGGGCCCCATCTTAGCCAGAGGGACCTGGTCCAGGCATTAGGCACAATCTCCTCTTCATCTGTAGCCTTTTCATCCACCTGCTCAAATTTATCCGCCTTTTGTTTGCTCATACTTGGAAAGGCGTTCTGTTTGTGGTAGGAGGGCTCCAGATTGAAAGGACCAGTGGAGCCATTTTCCCACAAGACTACCAGAGAACAGGTTAAGCCCAAGACACAACCCAGACCCTAACCCAATACAGGGTATTGGGAATGCAATAGGGGTCTGGAGATGAGAAAGGTGAAGAGGGTAAGAGTCCTGTCCCAGATGATCCTAGAATTAGGCTCAGCAGTTGGGGTAGAGTTCCTAGTGTTCTGCCTTTATAAGCAAGTCTGGCCTTGCCCTCTGGGTCCTCATACATCCCGGCTATATACAAGCGAAAATTTAGACAAGTCCCTTGCTGCTGATGGCTTTTATAGGCCACAGTCAGAAGTAAGTGCTGCTCACACAGGCCACCTCTGGGTTGGGATCTCTTTCTATGGCCTCCGTTCCTTTTTCTGAGTGCACTGGCTTTGCAGACCTGGAAGGAGTAAAAGGTTGTCACTGGCTACCCGGGAATTGGTCCCGTGGCAGTGTCTCTCACCATCCCCCGCCCCAAAGTAAGTGAGGGGAGGGTCTGGCCCAAAGCCAGTTAGATGACTAAGGTTCCAGAAGGCTCCATACTTGGCTTCCAAGCAACAATGGATTAAGAGTGAGGTGGAAGCTGATGTGAGGCCCTGGACCTGAACTTCAGAGAAAGGAAGCACCTTACCGTTCATGGGATGCCTGCTCCATATCCTTTATGGTGTCTTTCAGGGTCTGGCCACGTGTCTCTGGTAGTAGGGCACAGAGCAAGCCTGCCATGATGGGAAGACTGCCATAGATAAGCATAGGGATGGCCGCATGGTACTCTTCCAGCAGGATCACGAGTGGTGAGAGGATGCCCCCGATCCTTGAGAAGATGGCAACTAGCCCCATGCCTGTTTGCCTGCGGGAAGGCCAGCCTAGGCTGAGCAGACCTGACCTAACTCCAGACCATAGCTCTGCCCTAGCACACTTCTCTGGGGCAGCTGAGACCCTTTACTATGATCCCCAAAGGTCCACAGGCTTTCTAGCCTTATCCAGGCCCTCCTGCTCTCTACTCCTGCATAAATGACTAGTATCCAACAGTTTGCAATGTTTATTGCACATACCTCCAGGTCTTGGTCTGCCTGTCTCCTACACACCTGTGAAGTCTCAGGTCAAAGGTTATACCTCCTGATCACCCACCCCCCACCCCCACATACTAAGTGTTCCTTCTCCTGGGCCACTCATACCTCATATTCTAGTACTGACCTGGTAGGGTATGGCCTACTTCCTTATCTGTCCTCCTCCAGCCTCCAACCTGAGAGCTTGGACTAGATTTCCAATTGCTATGGACCCCATCCAACACTGCTGCCCCAAAGCCAGTCCTATTTACTATTTGTGGAATGGTGGTGAAGGCAAAAGGAAGGATGGCTCAAATCAGGGTCTCAGGAGTAGAGGAGTAAAACTTTCTCCAGCAGCCCTTACCGAATAATGGTGGGGAAGAGTTCAGCAGAGTACACATAGGAGATGGTAAATCCAGCAGCCGTGGCAAACTTCCCCACTATGGCCAGCACAGTGACCACCACAGGCCAATCTGGGGGAGGACACTGGTCAGACACATGGGGAGATATACAGCCCTGTCACTTGGGCCCTGTGTTGTCTACCCAAACTTCCCACCCCTTCTGTACCCAAATCCTGGGGAAATTTTGACTCCTGAAAGGGAAACGGTGTCCAAAGATCTAGTCCCTGATGGGAGGTGGGTGGGAGTGGATAGGGATAGGGGAACAGCCAACCCTGGTACCTGCAGGGATGAAGATGATGGTGATACACATGAGGCCACCCAGAACTAGAGTCCCCAGCTGGCTCCACTTGCGGCCTAACTTCTCCATCATGAAGATGCTGGAATAGCGGGCAGGCACCTCAACTGCTCCAAAGACTAGCTGTGTCAGGTAGATGTCCAGGCCAAAGTCTCCTACTTGAAGGCTCAGGCCAAAGTATGTCAGAGAGTCCACAAACCTGCGAATTGTCCAAGAGTCCTGTCACTGCTAGGTGATCGGCCACCATCATACTGGGAGTCCTGCCTTAGCCTGCAGTCACAACAGGAGAGACAATAGCACAGCCAGGGAGAGACAGTCATTCCCAGACAGACCATCACAGCCAGAGAGCCACCATCCCACCATTCCACTAATACAGACCAGGGCAGAGCAGCTCTTTCATTCTGTCCTCAGGGAAGGAAATGGGCCCTGGTATACTCACCAGACACAGAAGAGAATCAGGGTCACCTTCCTGAGCTGGGGGTATCGGAACAAATCCAGGGCATTCTCTGAAGGGCCTTTCTTCTCTGGAACCAACTGAGAGGAAGACACAGAATGAGGGGCCAGGCAGAGAGATCTGTGTTGATCAGATTTGGGGCAAAGCTGGTACTGGGTCTGCTGGTGATACCTGGCTCAGGAGCTCTGGGGAGAGTTTCCGCTTGTTGACTGAGGCTGCCTTCTGAATCACTTGTTTTGCCTCCTCTACCTTCCCCTGGGTCAGGAGCCACCGTGCAGATTCTGGGAGGGCCCTGTTGCCCAGGAGTGGCTATGACTAATGGGTCCTACAGTCCTGTGGAACCCCCTCCCTTCTCCAAGGAGCCTTCTTGGGCTGTTCAAGGGCACACTGAACCCCATACTCCAGCACTTTCAGGCTCCCTCTCCCAGACAATGCATATCCCATGGGGTGAATCTGAGTGCTGTACTCCAACCCTGCCACAACAGAGCTAACCTAGGAGCAGCCTGTTCCTGGGAAGTGTCTCCTCACCAGACATAGAAGAAGAGCAGCAAGACAGGGGCAGTGCCAGCAATTTGGAAGAGCCGCCAGTTCTGGATGCCATAGGCAAGTCCTGATAGTACCATCAGCCCAATGGAGAAGGCACAGTGGGCCAGGACAACAGCTTTGGTCCTCCATGAGGGCCCTACCCACTCTGTAACTGTGGGGAAGAGAGGGTGAGACTGTGCTGGAGCCTGCCCACCCACTCCCTGGAACTCCTCAGACACCACCCTGTAGATCTGGGGACTCAATGCCAGCACATGAAGGCCCAATATGGCCTCTTCAGGTCTGGGGTGTGTGACAAGGTCCCCACAGGTAGTCTGGGGAACACAGCCAGCCTGGGCTTTTGGAAGCCTGCCATAATAGACATGGCTGAAGTCTTTAGGGCTCAGATACTCACGTAGGGTGACGTTGCTGAAGGTGTATCCAGCGACAGCAGTGGCCACAGCAAAGCGCAGGGCTGTGTAGAGCTCAAAGCTAGGCACAAAGGCTGTGGACAGGCCAATGAGGGCTAGGAGTAGCAGCTGCACCAGGATAGTAATCTTACGGCCAATCCTGGGATAGCAAAGGGGCAGGTCTGTGGGGGTATGATCCCTCCTAAGAGTCTATCTGATAAGGAAGAAGCAAGGAAGATCCATTTCTGCCCTGGCAACTCTGTCTAAGGGAGGAGATATATTCTTTCCCTGGGAGCCCCATTTGAGGGTAGAGGAACACAGCCTTGTCGTGGAGTATGGTTGGGAGAGGGATCACAAGGGAGAACCTTGACTCTGGGTCAGGAGCCTAAGAATATCCTCGATCAGGGGAGAGCTGGTCAGGGTTCCTTACCTGTCACAGAGGGGCCCAAAGATGACAGATCCAACGAGGAGCCCTGCCATGAACACTGACTGTGAGGTCTCCTTCAGGTGCTTCCGATCACAAACCAGGTCAAACTGAGGCAGACACAAGCAGATGGAAGTCTAGGGCAGTGCTGAGGCCAAGTCCTTTACCCTGCCCTCTGCAAACCTCTCTCAGGGCAGATGCCTGCAGTTCCCAAACTGAGTGCTGAGGCATCCCAGGATACCACAGTGAATTCATGGGACACCACAGGATATTTTCAATTTTAAAGGGAAATACAGCAATATCAGGAGCTCTGGTAGCATAGTGGCTAAGACACTTGCCTGCTAACCAGACGGCTGGCGGTTCAAACCCACCAGCCACTCCTCAGAAGGAAGGTTGGGCAATCTACTTCCGCAGTGACACTGCCTCGGAAACCCAGGGAGGGGTCGCTATGAGTTGGGTCCGACTCCACGGCACATAACAACAAATCCAGTATGACTAGTGTCCTTATAATAAAAGAAGAGAGACAGATGCACAGACACACAGGGACAGTACCATGTATCAACAGAGGCAGAGACTGGGGTCATCGTCTACAAGCCAAGGTCTGTTAGCAACACCAGAAACTAAGGCTTGAAAAAGATTCTCCCTAGAGCTTTCAGAGAGAGCACAGCTTTGACAACATCTTGATTTTGAACTTCTAGCCTCCAGGACTGTGAGAGAATAAATTTTATTTTAAGCCACTAAAATAAAACAAAATTTGGCTTAAAACAAAATTTATTTTGTTTTAAATACTTTTGTTAGTGGAAACTTGGTACGGCAGCCAAGGAAACAAATACAGTAATTGTACTTATGAAGAATGAAATAAAAATATTTTTTCTTTTGATGTATGTGTATATTTTTTTCAAACAGTTACTAAATTATCAGGACAAAAGTACTTGTTGTTTGGACCTAATTACTTAATAAAAGTAATTGCCAGGTATTTCTTTTGGCCTGGAGACACCATTTAAAAAGTAACTCACACATTCAAGGATGCAAAGTTTGGGACAGACCACTAATCACTGCTTTCTGACAAATGAGGCCTCTTTTCCACAGCCAGAGTGTCCCTGTGGCCCACTCAGGCCTCTCCAAGTTTTCCCATTGGCTTCCAAGTCCCCTGAAACTCCCATTATGCACGTGCAGTCAGGATCCTAAGGAGTCCTTACATACTCCTTGAGGAAGGAGATTAAGATAAAGCAAAGGAGAGAGACGCCAACCCACGTGAGGATGGACACAGAAACCTGATTGAGAGACAGGCTGGCAAACCAAAGGGAGAAAATATATGTGTTCATGTAACTCTGTACATATGTCTGCTGTATATATACATACAGTACATGGAAGTGATTTCCCCTTCCCTCTGGGTTGTGGGCCCCTCAGGGAATTGTATGTCCCATCCAACAATGCAGCTCCAGGTATACAAATAATGTTTGTGTGTGGGGGGCGGTGGACATAATATGTGAACTCCCCCCTAGAATGCACAGACACAGCTTCACAACAGAGAGTAACGTCTTTCACATGCTTGCTCTGTGCTAAGTGTTAAGTGCTTTATATGTATCATCTCATATGAATCTGACAATAGTCCCTGACTCATTATATCCTTGTGTTATAGATGATAAAACAGAGGTAGGAAAGGTTAAGCAACATATCCCAGGTCATATGGGTGGATGGCAATAAAGTTGAGACATCCCTATTACCCTAGACAGGGACTGAAACTGAGCGAAGGCTAAGAGAATGCTCATTAAACAAATGATGGGTGAATGAACGAATGCCCTCAGACAGCCAACTAGTCAGCCACCATCTGTTAAACAATCTTTAGCAAGAAATTAATTCAAGAGTTATCATTTTCAAGGAAAATTGTTAATTTTTAAGAACTCTCCTGTGTGTCAAATGATTAACTGTGATTGCCCCTGGGTAACAAAACAAACAAGGGCAGAGGACTTGAACTTGTTCCACCTAGTTCTGTCCTGTTTGGTTTGTCCAGCAAGCACTGATTGCCTTTATAGCAAGAAGCTAATTAAAATAAATTATAATAAATAAACACCTGCTGCTGCCAGGCTCTGGAGTCAGGACTGAGTGACTTTGTGTCACCTTTGGCCTGTTAGCCAATCTGTCTGTGTCTTGGTTTCCTCCTATACAAAATGGGGATAAAATATAAAACAAAATATCACTTGACAGGATTAAGGGAATTAACACATGTAACATGTTTAGCACAGGATCCTTGGTGGTGCAGTGGTTAAGTGCTCAGTTGCTACCTGAACCCATTGGCTGCTTCACGGAAGAAAGATGTGCCGGTCTTCTTCCATAAAGATTGTAGCCTAGAAAACTTATGGGACAGTTCTGCTCCGTCCTACAGGATCACTATGGGTTGGATGAGTAACACTGGATGAGTAAGCACACATAACATGTTTAGCATAGTGACTGTTACACGGGAAGCAACTGATAAATGTTAGTGAGGATGATGTGTGCTGGTCCTACTACTCATGAAGCTCATAGCTGGTGACACAGATATCTCAAACAAAAGGCGGCACAGAGCTCTGAGGGCATGAGTGCCAAGCGAAGGGACTCTTCCAAGGCTGGCACCCCTGGTTAATAGCCACTATTCACTACCTCCCCCCTTACTCTCATTAAAGGAGCTCTGGTGGTGTAGTGAGATGGTATTTGGCTGCTAATCACGAGGTTGGTGGTTCAAGCCCACCATCTGCTCCATGGGAGGAAGATGAGGCAATCTACTTCTGTAAGATTTATGTCTTCTGTAAAGATTTATAGCTTTGGAAACTCAATGGGGCTGCTATGAGTAGGAATCGACTCAATGGCAGTGGGTTTGGATTTTGGTTTTTGGATGGTGTAGTGGTTAAGGCATTTCGCTGCAAACCAAAAGATTGGTGGTTTGAACCCACCAGTTGCTCAGTGGAAGAAGGATGAGGCAGTCTCTTTACGTAAAGATTTATAGCCTTGGAAACCCAATGGGGGTCACTATGAGTTAGAATTGACTTGATGGCCGTGAGTTAGGTTTTATTCCCATTAAATCCTCGGTCTAACCTCATAAAGGCTTATCAATCCCATGTACAGCAGCAAAGACTGAGGCTTAAAGGTGTCAAGACTTGTCCACGCTCATGTGGTGGTGTCATGTTTAAGATGGTAGAGATGAAGAGGGCTCCAACTTGAGACACCAGTCATCAACATCTGCAGCCCTAGCACTAGTACATGGTTCTGTCTGAGGCCTGCCACACTCATCTTCAGGATTCATGATCCCAAACTCCTGTCCTCATTCCTTGGAGCAGACCCCATCACATCTCTCTCTCCTGTTCCAAACCTTCACTGGTTCCCCCTGGCCTCTAGGAGAAACCCCAGGTTCCTCAGTACTGTGTCTTAAATCCTTTAAGAGCGGGCTCCTGCCTATTTCCTAAACTCTTTGTCATGTTTGTTGTTGTTGTGGTTATGTGCCGTTGAGTCGGCCCCAACTCATAGTGACCCCTCCTTGGGTTGCCGAGGCAGTATCTCTACAGAAGTAGATTGCACTGTCTTCCTTCCAAGGAGTGGCTGGTGGATTTGAACCGCCAGTCTTTTGATTAACAGTCAAGTGCCTGAGGCACTATGCTACCAGAGCTCCCCCCGCTCAGAAATGCCAGACTATTTATTTATTTCTTTGTTTGTTTATATTGTGTCCTAGCCTAACCAGAAGGCTAGCAGTTTAAACCCACCAGTCACTCCTCAGAAGGAAGACTGGGCAATCTACTTCCATAGAGATACCACCTCAGAAACCCAAGGAGGGGCTGCTATGAGTTGGAATCGACTCGATGGCAGTGACTTTGGTTTTGTTTTTAGCTCTAAAAATGGCTGTTTTCTCTGCTTCTCCTCCCCTCCACCCCTACCTCTTCTCTGGTTCCAGCACAGATCACACTTATTTCTATTAATTGATGGTGTCTATTTCCCTCCCTTCTCAGAGGTCCATGGGGACACGGCTGAGAGTCATTTTTTTGTCTTACCAAACGTGGTTGTTGTTGTTAGGTGCCATCAAGCCAGTCTCAACTCACAGAGACCCCATCTACAACAGAATGGAACATTGCCTGGTCCTGTGCCATCCTCACAATTGTTTGCATGTTTGAACCCATTGTTGGAGCCACTGTGTCAATCCATCTTATTAAAGGTCATCCTCTTTTTCACTGACCTTCCACTTTGCCAGGAGCTCTAGTGGTGTAATGCCTAAGACATCTGACTGCTAACCAGAAGGTTGGCAGTTCAAACCCACCAGCTACTCCTCAGAAGGTTGGACAATATACTTCTGTAGTGATACCACCTCAGAAACCCAAGGGTGGGTCGCTATGAGTCAGATCTGACTTGACAGCAGTGAGTTTGGTTTTTGGTTCCACTTTACCAAGCACTGGCATGGGACACAGGCACCCAGGAAATGTCAGATGGTTAGGCAGGTGGTTGAGAAGGAGAAATGTACTTTGTTCTCTAGAAGCACACAGCCTATAAAAAACATGTTCTTTTCCTCTCAAATTAAGATTATTGGTATTTTCATTTGAATATAAAGCTTCAGGTTAGAATAAGTTGACCTGGGATGTCAGCTCACAGAGGGTCTTATGAGCCAGTGTGGCAAAGCTCCTTTTCATAAACAGGAAGCAGAGGTAGAAAATCTCCCCCTAAGTTAGTTCCACTCGGGAACTAAGCTTGGGGTTATCATGTGGTAAAAGACACAAAGGACAAAAGATATACACTCATGGGAAGGTCACAGTCCTTGGGAAGGTAGGGATGGAGGAAGCATATTAGGACAGGGCAAAAGGTCTCCTGTCCCACTCCAGTGCCAGCAGTGTAGGTTGATGTCTGAAGGTAAAGAGAGAGGCCCAAATCCTTGAGAACAGCCCATCAAACCCGTAACTCTGCCCACCCTTCCATTCCAGGCACATCAAGTTGCCTATTATTCTCCTGCTCTCCAGACAGAAGTGCTGCTTCTTGATGTCAGGCAGACCTTTCTCACCATTTTCTGTCTGCAAAGCCCTTCCTTTCTTTTCTACCAACATTTTTTTTTTTTTTTTGTATCTTGGTGACCAACTCACATGCCTTTTCTTTCAGGAAGTTGTCTGCCTACTCCCTCTCTAGGAGGAAACAAATTCTGGGCATCACAGCCCACCTATCCCTTTTATCCCTCTACATCAAAAAACCAAACTCACTGCCATTGAGTCAATTTAGACTCATAGCAACCCCCTTCGGATTTCCAAGGTGGTAAATCTTTACAGAAGTAGGTTGCCCAGTCTTCCTTCCATGGAGTGGCTGGTGGGTTTGAACCTCCAACCATCTGGTTAGCAGTCAGATGCTTCAGGCACTATGCTACCAGAGCTCCTTAGGGCCCCAGATCTTCCCTTGACTTCCAAGAGTTCTTGGAGAAGATGAATGGGATACCTCCCTTCTCTGGCTGTGCCTGCAAACAGTTAATACTCAGGAGGCTTTGATTATAATAGTATTGCAATGAGCAAAGAGTGTGAACAAGGTCTAGAGAGGACTGTGAGCAAGCTGGAAGGTTTCCTAGGATTTCAGGATAATGGCATTCGGCCAGGTGGGCAGGAGAGTTTATGAGCATGTGTAGAGGTAGGCATAGCCAAAGCATTTGAGGGCCAGTGAAGCCTAGAACCTATTATGGAGGTGATGCTGGGGATAATGGGAAGGCCAGTGAGGGCCAGATTGAACTAGGCTAGGCTAGAACCAGAGGGTAGGAAATTTCATATGCTGCCCAGCTCCCCTGTGGAGTGGAATGACAGAGAGAGTTAGGAGGAGAGTGCCAGGACATATCCTCAGGCTGCCAGAGCTCAAGGGGCAGGTGGATATTCACATACTAAAATGTGAATGTTTAATCTCTGGACTCCAGGTTCACCTCCCACAGGGGCTCAGCGTGTGCCACTATAAAGAAGGTAAGAGTTATGTAGATCTCCCTGACAATCATGTTCTTTTGGTTTCTGGACTCTATGCTACCTTTCTCTCCTATAGGGAACTAGACAGCAAAAGACCTGCATAGGAGACTATCTCACAACTCATTATGTGACCCAGGCCCCTTCTGTGCCTCAATACCTTTTGGGAAGCAGCAGAATGGGATTAGATGTGTTCAGAGAGCTCCTCTTGCCTGAGGCAGCTGAGAATGGGAATCTTTTTATTTGTCTGACTGGGTCTCTCCCAAGAGAATGAAGTTTTAGCAAAAGCAAATACTCAGTTACCCATAGGACAAGTCCTAGAGTTGTATGTGTGTACCAGACAGGCAGACAGACACCTGTGTTGTTGTTATGTGCCGTCAAGTCAGACCTGACTCACAGTGACCCCTCTTTGGGTTTCCGAGGCAGTATCTCTACGGAAGTAGATTGGCCAACCTTCCTTCCGAGGAGTGGCTGGTGGGTTTGAACCACCAGCCTTCTGGTTAGCAGTCAAGTGCCTTAG